GAGAAGAGATGGCGGGGGAGAGGATGAGGACTGAGAAGTGGCCAGGGGCAGGAGGGATCCATGGGTAGGGACACAGGGGGTGCGACAAACACCCCCTCCCCACCATTCTCCAAGGCCTGCATCTCTGCTGTCCTCCGTCCTTCGGCCTGTCATCCAAGACCACAGCCTCAGTCAGGGAGCCAGCGTTGGCATCCCTGGGGGAAAGGATGCCCCACCCCACTCCCCATCATTTTTATGTATCCCCTGTGTCAGTTTCTGGCTGATAACCTGGTAGGAGCTCTTGGGCCAATTTCTCGCAGCCCCTGCTGTGCCCACCACAGAGGCGAACTGCCCATTACACAAGTCTGTACTGAGCTCGGGCCTTTGCTGCACTTTTCACGACTATATTAAAGTACTTTGAAAATAGATGAAAGCTAGTGTTTCAGTTTCACCCCGTAACAAGTTCATGCCGACCCCTTAACCTAGTGTGTGTGACATTGCTGTGCTCTTTCTTAGGGAATCATGAAGAGAAACCAATCAAGGTTTGGAAATTAGCAGCGCACCTAGTGGCTTCTACGGTGCAGTGTTTGGCTTCGGGCAGTCGCAGCCTGTGGCTACCTTGCCCACTTGATCTTTTCCCACATGAGGACACAGTGTTCCTCCGCTCTGGAGGACGCAGCAGGAAGGCCCTCACCAGACACCACATGGTGGCGCCCTGATCTTGGACTTCCCAGTCTCCAGAACTGTGAGAAAATACGTTTCTGTTCTTTGTCAGTGACCCAGTCTGCGGTGATCAGTCACAGCCGCACAGACGTACTGAGACGCTGGTGCTGGGATGTTGTAGGGTAGGGCAGGGCTGGGTGGGGGTTTGCATGGGAAAGTCGTGCTCCCAGCCAGGCCCTTTGCCATCTTTAAGAATTGCTTAGCGCTGGGAGGGGCCCTCTCTTCCTGGCCTGCAAAATGTCCTCAAATACAGAAAGTAAGACACATAGTCGAGCTGGCCAGTCAGCTCAGTCGATTAGGGCATGTTGCTGATAACACCAGGGTCCAGGGTTTAATCCCTGTACCAGCCAACAAAAACAAAAAAGAAAAAAATCCATGGTTAATATAGGGAAACCTAGCTCTCTCTGGCGGGGCACCACCTCTCCTGGTGCCCCCACCCCATGCCCTGAATGCCGCTGGACCTGGGGGGAGGTGGTTGTCACTGTTCCTCCTGGGACTTCCTGACCGTGCCCGCACACCTCTAAGCCCCCAGCTTTGACTTGCAGGGCTCAAACTGACTCTGTGTGGTCGTCATTCCCTCGCAGCCCAAAAGTTTCCCGACCTTGCCTTAGTTAGGCCCATGACTCCATTTCTCTGTAAGTTGCTCTCTGTAAGACCTCCTTGATTTTTGGCACCTCGCCCCAGTTCCTCGGCACCCAGGGACCTCCAGTCCCCCTTATACCTGATGCTTGCTCCACAGATTTTTTTTTTTTTTTTTTTAAAGATGACCGGTAAGGGGATCTTAACCTTTGACTTGATGATGTCAGCACCACGCTCTCCCAAGTGAGCCACAGGCCAGCCCCACAGATACCTTTTAAAGAAATAGCTTTCTTGAGATATAACTCACACACCAAAATGTACTCATTTAGAGTGTACAGCTCAGTGGTTATTAGTATATTCACAGATTTGTGCAACCATCACCAAAATCTAATTCCAGAATGTTTTCTTGTGTGTCTGGAGTCTCTCACTGAGCATGATGTGTTCAAGGTTCATCCACGTTGTAGCATGTGTCAGAGCCTCATTCCCTTTATTTTTTTGGTAGGGGGGTGGCAAAATATATATAACATCATATTTGCCATTTAACTTCAATGAATGCTTTTTTGTTTGTTTGTTTGTTTCTTTTTTTCTGACCGGTAAGGGGATCGCAACCCCCAGCATGGTGTGCTTGTGTGTCTGGAGTCTCTCACTGAGCATGATGTGTTCAAGGTTTATCCACGTTGCAGTGTGCGTCAGAGCCTTGTTCCCTTTCTTTTTTGGGGGTGGGGGGGGTGGCAAAATATATATAACATCATATTTGCCATTTAACTTCAATGAATGAATGCTTTTTTGTTTGTTTGTTTCTTTTTTTCTGACCGGTAAGGGGATCGCAACCCCCAGCATGGTGTGGTCCACACCACGCTCAGCCAGTGAGCGCACCAGCCATCCCTATATAGGATCCAAACCCGCAGCCTCGGCGCTACCAGTGCTGCACTCTCCCGAGTGAGCCACGGGGCCAGCCCTCAATGAATGCTTTTTGATCCACCCATTACAGCAGGGATTCTTAACCTGGGGTCAGGGAAACCCAAGCTGACTACAGCCAAGTCTGTCTGTAGCTTTCAGGGAACCGTGGCAGGACAGGAGGTCACAGCTTTGATTTGATTCTTAAAAGGAAGTGGAAAAATGCTGTGAGAAATTACAAGAAGGCCAGTGGTGATCAGCGTGACCTCCTACCATGGGAAACCAGAGAAGGGATATAGTCCCTTCCCCATCAGACCTGGAGCCTGGGCGGGAGCAGCAGCCTCCGCTGCCACCCAGTGCTAGGCTCTAATCCCCAGTCCCCAACCTTAGGGACCCCAGCCCTGTCCTTCCAGATCTGTGTTTCTCAGTGGCAGCACTATAGCACTGTGGACACTGGGGCAGGATCACTCTCTGTGGTGGCGCAATCCTGGACACTGCAGGGGCTGAGCAGCATGTCTGGCTCCCACCATTCCATGCCAGTCATGACAACCATGAATGTCCCCAGACATTACCCAGTGTCCCATTGCAAAATTGACCCCTGTTGAGAACCACTTCTCCAAATTTCCTGGGTTTTGGCAACCTAATGAGCTGTGCTTTTCTTAGCTCCTGAAACCACAGTGTTGTAGGTTGGTCGCCAGATGTCCCCGTCCTTCCTTTCTTCTTATGTCCGGGCCCTTTCCACTGTGACCTTTCCAGTCTTCCAATCTGGAAATGGAGCCTGGTGCCCCAGCCCTGGCGGCTGGCCTTCCTGGTGCCTTGTTTGGCCAGTAGGCTGCAGGGGGACTGTCCCAAGCTTAGGCTCATGAGGCCTTGCCTGTATCCATTCCATCTCGTGGGATGTTGCTGTGAGGGACTGAGGCTGGCCTGCTGGCACAGGAGATACCATGGGGGAGTGCCACAGTGCCCCCCATCTGACACTGCCAACCTCAGATGCAGGAAGGAGCCCTGCCAAGACCAGGAGAGCCACCAGCTCAGCCCCGCCTGCAGGATCATGTGTGAAATACGTGACTGCTGTTTTAAGCCAGGGACCCTTTTCTATAAAAGGCCATAACATAAATATTTTTGATTTTGCCAGCCACACAGTTTGTGGCAGCTACTGAACTCTGCCACACTGTAGCACAAAATCAACCATAGACAATACGTGATCAAATGGACATGGCTTTGTGCCAAGAAAACTTTATTTCTGGACTCTGAAATGTGAATTTCCTATTACAGTCACATGTCGTGAAATATTACTCTTTTAATTTTTTCCAACCATTTGTTTATTTTTTTTGGTGGCTGGCTAGTATGTGGATCTGAACCCTTGACCTTGGTGTTATCAGCACCACACTCTAACCAACTGAGCTCACAGCCAGCCAAGTTTTTCCAACCATTTAAATGTAAAGACCGTTCTTAGCCGATGGGCCGTACAGAACCTTGGTGTTATCAGCACCACACTCTAACCAACTGAGCTCACGGCCAGCCAAGTTTTTCCAACCATTTAAATGTAAAGACCGTTCTTAGCCGATGGGCCGTACAGAAACAGGCGGTGCGCTGGAGTTGGCCACTTTTGGCCGACTCCCGTCTTTAAAACCTTGCTCCCTCCTTTCCAGTGTGGGCTCTTCCACATCAAGCCCCTTCTTAAGGAGTGAGAGACACTTAAGAAAGACACGACCTCCCCTAGTTGGAGATACGTTCCCTGCTCCACTTCCATGCACACTCAGCTGAATAAAAATGGGATGACACTTCACCCTCCCACCATCACCCATTTACCCTCCCACACCACATGCAGCGCATGTGCGTGTGTGTGCGTGTGCGTGCGTGTGTGTGCATGCATGTGGATGTGCGTGTTGATGGCTTTGTGGTGTCCTGAGTGATTACTCAAGGTGAGGCAGCCGAGTAGACCCTTTTTGGGTCACTGTCACATGTTGATTGTTGTGACAAACACTTATACGCTTGCCATTCCCAGTCCCTGTTTGAGGTGTTTCAAGGCCCAGCACTGCTGGGAGTCAGCTTGGACCCTGCTCTTTGCAGGTGACATGGGGACTTGTGTGCTCTGTTCCTGTGTCTACTGCTCTTTCTGGTTCTGCCCCGGAGTGTCTCGTGTCTTCTAACAGTCCTTGCCTTTGGATTCTCCCCTCTATGACCATCACCACCTGTCCACTCCAGCTGTCATACAATACTGCAGACTGGGCATCTTAAACAACAAATTTACTATAACAGCTCTGGAGCCCTGAAGTCCAAGATCAAGGTGCTGGCGGCAGGGGGGGGGTCTCCTGAGGCCTCTCTCCTTGGCTTGCAGACGGCCGTCTTCTCACCATGTCCTCACGTGGCCTTCTGTTGTCCAGGTGCACTCCTGGTGGCTCCTCCTCTTTTTTTTTTTTCAGTTTTCTTTTTCTTTATTTGTCTGCATTCAGCTTTATTCAGATGTACTTCCTGAATGGTCCAGACATACAAAGAAAAACCCCACTTGTTTAAAAAGAAAAAGAAAAAAAAGTACTGTTGAAGTTCACCTTTCTTTGAAGAATTTTGACATTGAGGAAAAGGCATGCTGCACAAGTAGATTACCTGAGTGCTAGTTTAATCGGTTCGAGTCCCGACTTTGGCACTTTGTGCCTCAGTCTCCTCATCTGTAAATCAGGTGCAATGATAGTCCCAACCTCACAGGCTTGTAAGTTTGTGTTAATCTGTGAAAAGCACTTAAAATTGTTCCCAGGTTCCCAGGGAGGTCTCAGGGATGTGCTCTGGGAGCCCCATGTTCCTCATGGCTGCCCCAGTGGGCCATGGCGGGTCCCAGCCCCACACTGGCCAGGACTTTGGTTATGGCAGCTGACACAGGAGCCCGCACCTGCACCCAGCACTGCACCTGCCTACCAGGTATCCAGCTGTCTCTTCTCACTGGAAAACATTGTAGCATCATGTGCGTGAGTGTGGTTCCCCCTACATGCCCCTTGTCAAGGCTCCCTTATCACGGTCTTTCCTTCTGGCAGTGTGTATGTGGCATGGGGGGAAATCAGTTAAATTAGAGTCACTTTCTTTTTTTTTTTTTTTTTTTTTTTTTTTTTTATTATTATAATTTTTTGACCGGTAAGGGGATTGCGACCCTCAGCACAGTGTTGTTCGCACCATGCTCAGCCAGGGAGCGTACCCGCCATCCCTATATAGGATCCAAACCCGCGGCCTCAGCGCTACCAGCACCGCACTCTCCCAAGTGAGCCACAGGGCCAGCCCAAATTTTTTTTTTTTTTTTCTTAAAGATGACCGGTAAGGGGATCTTAACCCTTTACTTGGTGGTGTCAGCCCCACGCTCAGCCAGTGAGCAAACTGGCCGTCCCTATATGGGATCCGAACCCGGGGCCTTGGTGTTATCAGCACCGCACTCTCCCGACTGAGCCACGGGCCGGCCCGGGGCCAGCCCAAATTAGAGTCACTTTCTAAAGGAAGAATTGGCTTCTCTCAGGGAACCTCGAAAGGGAAGCCCAGAAGGGCATTTGGGGACAGTGACCAGATGCAGAGCTTTGTCTCCTGTCTGTTACCCAGCCTGAGCAGGTGGCTCTGAAGGAGGTGGAGGCCTTGTGGGGGCAGGAGACCTTCGCCATGTGGCCCCAGAGAGGCCAGGACACACCCTCACCCTCCTCACGCTCCAGGCCCTGCAGATCTGGCCGCTGTGTTTCTGCTTGGTGTCGCAGAGGTGTCCCATGCAGACCTCAACCCTGCCACCCACACCAGATCCCTGTTCATGGCAGTAACCGCACATCACAGGTCCCAGTCACCCAAGCTTGGACCCTCTAACCCCTCCCTCTTCCCCACCTCTCTCCATCCCTTCACTAAGGCCTCAGGGGCTTCTCTCCAAGCCCGCCCTCTCCATGCTCCCCAACAGCCAGAGTCCTCTTGTAAGTCACGGTGAGGCCTGGCTCTTCCCATGTACCCAACTCCCAAACCAGGGCCTAGTCCTGAGCAGGTGCTCGGGGCCAGCACTGTGGGAATGAATGAGCACAGACAGAGTGCAGTGTGGCCCTGAGCTGCTGTCCCCTGCTCTTTGTCTCTCTCCCGCAGAAACCCTCATGCAGGACAGTTATAGCTATGGACAGTTGATGGCCACCAGCAGGTATGAGGACAGACGGTACGCCCTGCCTTGGTCCCCGGCCTCTGACACACTCTTCCGGCCATGTGGGTTGTCCACAGGGGCAGAGGGTGGGGGTGATGAGACGCTGGCTATGGCGCAGGGAGAACTCATTCAGGTGACACCTTAGACACTCTAGACTCACAGGAGATTGGGAGTAGCGAGACTGTCAGGGTGGGCTTCTGAGATGTACCCCAAGCCTCGGCTAGCTGGTAGCCCTGTGCATGTGAGGGCCAGACTCACTATGGAGCTAGATTTCTTTATTCAAGGAAGCTTTCCCAGGATGGAAGGAGCTAAGTTCTGTGGGGGACTTGGGTGTTAGAGGTGGAAGACGTGTAGGAACTCATGGAAGACACAAACGGCCCTTCTCCCCATGGCTGTGGAGGAGGCAGCTGGAGTCTGGACAGGAGTGGTGGGCACAGGGTCATAGGCTGGGCACCGCACATGGCTGTGGAGGAGGCAGCTGGAGTCTGGACAGGAGTGGTGGGCACAGGGTCATAGGCTGGGCACCGCAGGGCTCCAGCCTCTGGTCCTGACTTCATCCTCCTTCACACTCCAGCCAGCCAAGCCAGGGCCCAACCACAGGCTCAGGGCAGGCAGGGATGGCAGGGAGGGGGGTGGCTCTGCAGAGAGCCTGAGCCTGTTCTCTAGGGACCAAAGGAGGCTATGGGCAGCCCAGCGGTGGCCACAGCCAAACCCAGCCCCTGCGACAGGCACCCACAGCAATGGTTGGGCAGCTGGTGAGCGCCTCATCCTCAGGACACACATACCCCATGGCGACAAGTGTCCAGCCTGACACCTTTGTTTCCACCCTGGCCTCCTTGTACACCCCCATCTGTGCCCAGTACGCTGGTAGGACCACCGTTTCCCTGTGCATGTATTTCTGTGCAGGCTGTCGGTCCGTCTGCCCCCCCAGTAAACTGGGTGGAAATCAGTACCTCTCCTTCCCTCTTTTTTTTTCTCTGCTTCTTAGGACCAAGCTACCCAAGCTATGACATGTTGGTGTGCTCAGCAGCCTGTCTCTATTATCCTCCAGCACTCACCCTGCAGATGTAGCCCCCACCTTCCCTGGGACCCCCCAGCAGCAGCCCTCCCTGCGGCCAATGTCCCCCGTGAGCTCAGCACTGTGGAGCAGCTCGGGAGGCAGCCCCAGGGCCCACTCTGCTGGCAGCTTCCCTAGGAAGCCACCATTTACCAGCAAGCTGCCGAAGCCCAAGAGGGGCCCTCGCAGCCCCAGCTTCGCTACTGCGACATCTGCGAGACCAGCTGTGCAAGTCTCCAGGTCAGTCCCTCTCCAGTGTGGGCAGGCCCGGGGGTCTCTCTGACCCCCAAATCCCCTGTGGGCCAGATGTGGGTGCCAGGGGTCAGGGTCATTGACTGGCAAGAATAGGTCTGTCGGGCTGGCTGGTTAGCTTAGTTGGTTAGAGCAAAGCCTTATAACACCAAGATCACGGGTTCAGATCCCTGTACTGGCCAGCTGCCAAAAAATAAAAAGAAATAGATCCGTCGTTAAAGTTGCACCATAAGGTATGTGGAAGAATTGCCTTAAGGTGAGCCTGCTGGTGTTCTAGTAGAACAAATGAGAGCCAGGCCCAGGGTCTATGGTTACCTGCAGAAGCTGTGGTCGTGATGCCCAAGGCGGCTTCTTTTTTTTTTTTTTTTTTTTTTAAAGATGACCAGTAAGGGGATCTTGACCCTTGACTTGGTGTTGTCAGCACCACGCTCACCCAGTGAGCAACCAGCCATCCCTATATGGGATCCGAACCCGTGGCCTTGGTGTTATCAGCACCGTACTCTCCCGAGTGAGCCATGAGCCGGCCCCTTTAAACATCTTTATTTTTATTTA